GACAATCACTCAAACCGTAACACGCGTGATGATCACAGTCGAGTCTTGACAATTAAATGAGGGCGATTTGCGAGGGTATTTTGTACAAAATGTGTTCGTAAATCCTACTAATAGATATTTATTTTGTTCGTAAATCTCGTCCAAATTTCGTAATTTACGACATTTGCGAGCGACAGCGAGAGCACAGCCACCAAAAGAAAATATTGATGTTAGTAAATATTTAACCTGTATTCAGCGTGTACATTTCGGTAACACTCGCATCTGGCGAATGAAAACTAAAGCCCTACTACAGCATCCAAAACTTTCTGATTAATAAATAATCTTGAGTTTGAGAATGTGTCAAAACAACAAATTTAAGTCATCCAAGTTGGCAGATTTTCTGGCATTTTTAATTACAAGGTCTGGTGGAAGGTTTATATCTGCGATAGTGCTCCAGATATGTTAGCTTTAGTTTAAATGACGTCACATGACCATATGTCCGTTTAATAAATCTGATTCTGTAAGATCATCACACATAAAATAATGTCCAATTTTTTTTATTTTCACATGAAATTATTTTCTTTATAAAATGTTATGCTCAGAAACATTTGCTCCAATATATTTAGTTATTAGGAGTACCAGTACTAGGCTGGTGGATAAAAGATGCCTTGGTATGTACACTGCGCCAAGGACATAAACAGGGCAGGCATTTTCCCATTGGGGTTACTGCATGTTTGGAAGTCTAGGCTGAATCTATTGCCGAGTGGGCAGTACAGGCTGCAAAGTGTTCACACATACATAACCCCTCCCATTTTTCATAAACTTACCAACTGATGGTCCATAACCGTTGGATTTTCCATCTTTTACAGACTTCACTACTGCATCTACAATATTCTCAGACGGTTTTAAGTTACCAAAAACAGTTGGATCTCCTGAGAATGAGAATAAGAATTAAATAGAATTTTTTCAAACAAGACACTTCGCGATGTGCGTCTTTCGCAGTCAGTAATATTTATGAACATTTTTGTTCACTATTTTATAAACTGGCTTGGCAATTCTCACTACCAATTAGACAATTTTTTCAACAAATCAACCATTTTTTTTTTTACATTTGTACTATGATTACATTTGAAGTTTTGATAATTTTAATGGGTATACATATTCTAATGCATACATGTACACTCACAAAAATACCCCAAAATATAAGAGAATTTAGTACCGGTATATAGCCTTGACAAAAAAGCTTTCCCAGGGGCCTTCACAGTCCCATGTTGTCCCGGCCTGTTTACTTGTTTGTTGTCAGTGTCTGACTGGTATATACAAAGTACGACCAAGTAAACGTTAGAATATTTAAAATCAAGAAACCTAAAAATCAGTTGCCAAGGGAGCCGCAGAATCAAAACATACTGTCAGTCATCGCCATCCACAGCAGCAATGATGATTTTAGACATCGAAATTGAGAATCGCAGGTGTAAACATATTACATAGAAATGAGCATTAAATACATCTATCCCGGCCAGCAATCGAATCATCAATCTTCATGAGTGATGTAACTGGTATTTCCATCTATTTGCTTCTATTTCCACTATCCAAAAACGCTCAAGTGAATGTTGTCAAAATCGCAAGTGTGCGTATTTTCGTACAGTGGCGTAAACATTGCTACAATCAAAGTCTATTCTGGGCTACTACCATTGTCAATTTTTGGAGTAGAGGACTATTTATACAGGGGACGGTCCAGTAAGAAATTGTTAAAATTGCCCGATTGGCATATCAAAATCCTGTATTGAAACAGAACTATTCTGTATTCACTAAAAAACAACGTTGTTATGTTTCTAGAATTAAAACGAACTTGAAACAAAAGAAACAGTCTGATCCAAACAACCTGCGTCTTTGAAAATTGAGTCTTATCGCCCTTGCGTTTCCGAGCGAAAATACGCCGATGCCAAAAACGTCCGATTTTACTCCTAATCTTCTATGATTTTTTGATAATATCATTAATTCAGTCCAGCGGTTAGATAGTTTATTTATTAGAGACGCTCGGGGAACCAAAATTGACAATGTAAATCACTCTGGTGACGAAAAATCAGCGATAATAGCCAAGGAGGTGAGGGACTGAATTTCAAAAACATAATTTATATAGAGGGTATATAATGAAATGAAGATGTATACGTGTGGGTAATAGTATTTTCAGGGAAGAAAGAAATTACCGCTTCCATAAAGTTGCGGTCACGTTTTTTTCCATTGATTTATAACATGCCCTAAATTGAATATCTGTGACAATAAATATTACAGTAACTTTTGTGATTTTTTGTCACAATTAGAAATATAAATTGTGCATATGTGCATGGAGATTACACATACCCACCAAATAACAAGGATTAAATGACCTGGTCACTTGCCATGAGACTTTGAATTTTATTACTTGAGCGCCATTTTTAGTAATTTTCACTGAATTCAATCTTAATTTTTGCCCAAACAGACAAAATAATACAGTGCTTTTATTTTTTAACAGAATGTACTGCATGATAATCCGTTATTTCGGTAGACATTCCTTGCAATCCAAATTAATATCCATGCTGTGAATTATTTTGAAATATATTTACAAGAGCTGAACTTGAAAGGGAAGAATTAACATTGTTGAGGGTCCACTATTAACCTTACAAGGGTTAAGCACTTCATATGCCTTAGTGAGGTTTATAACATTAGGTTTAGAGAAGTACTATGGTGAAATTAACAATTTAATAAAGCAGAACTAGTGAGATTAACAAAGTTAATCTTGTATTTACCAAAAATTGTTAATCGAACAGATGTACCTACCAATGGAAAGTGCAATCATCTCCTTATCTGGGTGTGGGTTAATCTTCATCCCATCTACAATATCACGAATGGGATTGAAGGTATTCCTTGCCATGGTTGAAGCAGGAACTTCCCATTTCATTCTCTTGGAATCGGACATGCCTATGTTAGTTCTGTTGATACCTGCAGAAAAAAAAAACGCAAAAAAATTCATGGTTATTTATAACACATCAATAATGAATATTTTTGTCCCTGAAGTAATATTATTGGTTAAAAATGGTCACATGATTGTTTGATACTATTATAACCCTCTCCCCAGTGTATTTGTTGCCTCTGACCTGTTGAGTTTAACTGGCCTGATTCCAACAAGACGAATGATGCCAATGTGCCCTCTGGAGGATAATTTTACCTTTCAGTTTGTGTTTTGGTGGACTTTCACCTCAATCACCTTTTTTTTTTTTTTTTTTTTAATAATAAGACACCTATTGGCTTTGGCTTCCATCAAATTATCATTCCCCATTGTAGTATGGGACTGTTTTTGGCATCAGACATCAATATCAATAACGTTCCAGGAAAATAATTATAGATATGGCCTTAATAGGTGAAGCCATTAACCACCAGACATTCTCGCCTAAATTTGTTTTTCACTTTTTTCTTATATTCTTCTATATTTCTGGAAATGAACTCTAATTTTGAAGCCAACAGACAAAATTTGAGTCAATTTGCAGTGTTGACTCTAAAAATTTGACTATCCCAATCTTTTGAAGGAAATTACAGACTATAAACAGGAGTATTTTGTGAATTTGGGACGAAAAAGGGAACTGCTGGTGAAAAGGTTAACATAACAGAGAAAGGTGGTCACTTTATTATTTCCAAATTTTATATTTCACAATAATCGCTGGTATAATTATTTAGAGCTCAGAATGTCAATTTCATATAAATTGTTTTACCTGAATTGTTGTGCAGTTTTATATATCACGATTTCTTCCGTTTTCCTGAATCAAACAAACCCACAGAGACGCAGTGCAATTGATATGATATAAAAAGAACTGGAATATTTAGTTGCTAGCAGTGTCAATTTTTGCAGCACCATAATTTGCATACAAGTAATTTCTGTTCTTGCACAATGACAATACCATATTTGCCTCGCTTGAAGCATGTCTTTAATAGAATTGCACAACAATGACAGGTATTCAATACAGTGATACAGGATTATTAAAATGTGACTTATTTTGAGCCATCTGTTTATATAGCAGTATAGGTACATATTATATTATTTCCACTGTTTTTCACAACAGGAAGTTGTTAACACCTAAAGTGAAGTGGGCTTTGATGTGCTGTATAGGGTTTAATCACACGCTAGGTTTTATTTTTGCTTATTTCACTGATAGCTAAATGTGTTAAATGCACTCAGACAGTCAAATTTGGGCCATTTTGGAGAGGGTGGACACTTAGACCCAGAAAATATTAATGTCCCAAAAATGGGGGATTGGGGCTTACATAATTATGATGATTGTTTAACATTAAAATGATTGACATTTGTATCTGATCGTCAAACAAGTACTTGTCCATATTGAGAGATATTGCTCTGGAACAGCATTAATTAAAACAAAATCAGCCATTTTGAATACATCTATATATCTATAACATGATGTATAATGAATATATCAAATTTGAACATAATCAGTCAAAGCATGTCAGAGATATGGCTCTAGAATCACATTCATTAAAACAAAATGGCCACCAGTCAGCCATTTTTTATTCAATCAGAAAAATAAAATGACGTGCATTAGGAACCTGTAATGTCTAATATATGTACCAAGTTTGAATGAAATCCATCCATAAATGCCAGAAATGCTCGATATTTGATGATTTCTAGCACAAAAATGGCCACCATTCGGCCATTTTGAATAGGACCGTCAAACCAATATATCTGTACATCTATGACATGATGTATAATGAATATTTAAAATTTGAACATAATCAGTAACAGCATGTCAGAGATGTGGCTCTAGAAGCCCATTCATTAATACTAAATGGCCGCCAGTCAGCCATTTTGAATTCAATCAGAAAAATAAAATGACGTGCATTAGGAACCCGTAATGTCTAATGTATGTACCAAAGTTTGAACGAAATCCATCCATAAATGTCAGAAATGCTCGATATTTGATGATTTTTTAGAATAAAAATGGGCACCATTTGGCCATTTTGAATAGGATCATCAAACCAATATATCTGTACATCTATGATATGATGTATAATGAATATTTAAAATTTGAACATAATCAGTAAAAGCAAGTCAGAGATATGGCACTAGAACCACATTCATTAAAACAAAATAGCCACCGATCGGCCATTTTGAATCGTATCTGAAAAACAAAATAATGTGCATCAAGATCCTATAATGTCCAATTTATATACCAAGTTTGAACAAAATCCATTTGTAAACAGCCGAGAAATGCTAAATTTTGATGATTTTTCAGTACAAAAATGGCAGCCATTCGGCCATCTTGAATCAGATCATGAAACAAATTGATGTGCATATGTATAATACCATGTATGATGTAAGTGTGAAAGTTTGAATGTGATTGGTCCAGGCATTTCTAAGATACAGGTCCGGACGCATGCACACACGGATGCACACACACACGCACGGACGGACGGAAGCACCAACGCACAGTGGTCAAAACATAAGTCCCCGTTTTCGGAGTGTGTATGAACGGGGACAAACAAGTAGGACAAAATGTTTTGCAGAGATTTGTTTGTTAAGAGTATTTTGCATCTCTTTCTAAAAATATTCTTGCAATGCTAATATTTTGTATGTTACAAGAACTGCAAAATAATCATTTAGATTTAACTTGTATGTTGCAAGTACAACTTAACTATATTTATTTATTTATTTTTGAATGAGCACAACATATTTATAATTGCTTAGTTATAACTTGTGCGTTGAAAACACTGCTTATTTATGTTTATTCACTAAATACAGCACGTTTGCACGTTTCTTGTATGTACTTGCAACATACAAGATAAAAATAGATATATATATATATATATATAAATAAATTAAACGACAAAAACACAATCAGATATAAAACATTCAAAACTTCCATGGTCTGTTAATAATAAATAAAGTCCAGTAAGGCTGAGAAAAAAAATATATCTTTCTCGTTTCTGTGCGCATCATTTTGAACTATGCGCCTCAGACATTTTTTTCCTTCCAAAGCATTCAAAAATGCGCTTGTACTCGCACTTGTCTCAAATTACCCCTATTTTAGCTCGGTATTCAAAAAAAAAATCGTCTCAATTCAAGATTTTAAATTTCCATAAAACGAGAAACAGAGAATTTTTTTTCTTGGCCTAACAGGAATATTAATATTTATCAATCAGATATATCCATGAATTTTTGAAAATGTTCAGTCACCTAGAGATTGATTTCAATTGTCAATATTGACAGGGGAGAATAAATTTTGCACCCACAAGAAATTTAAAACAAACTTTACAATGGGAAACTATTTAACAGATTAATTCAAATTATAGGAAATATATTAAAATATATAAAAATATTTGTTAGGAAATTAATGACCATCAACTTATGATTGAAAAGAAGGAGATATACTAGGCCGAAAACAAAACTTGAACACAGACTTTGCACAAGATGGACTGCCCACATATGGACTGCCCACAGCACAATGAAACGAGACAGAATCTTTTCACAGATTTAAATAAGGATAATCCTAATTTTACCTCATTGAATCATTTTGATAAATTTATTTACATTATGACAAACTGCCACATTAATCTTGGTGTTTTTATTATGCAAACAGGTGTGTATTAACTAATAATAGTAAACCACCTGATTCTGTACTATTCAGAATACTTACTCTTATGTTATGTTATATTATTTTACCGGTAAATTTTATTGTCCTTTTACTTTTCTATTTTACGTGACTATGTTCATCTTAGAGCTTTAGCTTTTGTAGTGTTCAGCCTAAGGTGGGATTTGAACTCAAGTCTATTGATCATGAATCTGATTGATTGCAACAACCACTACGCTACCAGTGCACATTATGTCCCGATACGGGCTCAGTAACGTATTACATGCTATTTTTGATGCTAGATATCACAGAAATGTGTAACATATATTTATCTTAGGAAAGCAAAGTTTATCAGAAAAATTGATTAAGTCAAATAATTGATTCATATCATGTCCAAAAAAAAAATAATCAATGTATACTCAAAAGAAAAACAATTGACTGTGTATACTGACTGAATAGATTCCACATAAACAAAACAAAACAAAACAAAACAAAACAAAACAAAACAAAACAAAACAAAACAAAACAAAACAAAACAAAACAAAACAAAACAAAACAAAACAAAACAAATAGGTGTATTGCACAGTAGCATGCCTATCAATACCATGGACATATTAACACATGTGATTATGCCCATGCATCTATACTACAGTACAGTTCACGCTTAATTGACAATACCCGAAAACACAGTTTACTTTTTTCACAGTCCCCTCCATACCAGCAGCCAGCGAAACAACCCCTGAAATATCATTAGTTCAACCTACACAAACATAAATATATGTATCAGCTGTGGGATATATTCATAGTAGTAAAATGTATTGTCTACAAGGTATTCTGGGAAATAACACGTTATGTTGGAAGTAAATTGCAGCCTGCTGCTGCCAAATCTAACAATGCGATGAGAGTTTTCATGAACTGCATCGTACATTCTAACAAAGCTGGCATAACCAATTCAGATACAGGGTTAAGATAGTTTAAGAATAAATGGATGGATCTGAGAACAAGAACAAATAAATACACTAAATGTCCAGCAAATTTTAATCTAATGAGCACGAGATATTCATGGCAGTTAATTGTTGCATGACTTCTGTTATATCATACTAAGTAAATGCTCGAATAAATATCTGAATTTTAAAATTAATTGTAAAAATATTATACTTTTAGCCTCGTTACAGCAAGTATATGGGAATTAAAGGTATTTTATTTTGGCTATTAAGTAACATGGTTTGGATGTTTAGGTTTACCAAAAACAGCAATTTTAAGAAAAGGGATGTACAAATAAAATAAAATATCAATGTCTTCTATCAGACTGATATTGCAATGACTTCAGTTCCAATGAATGCAAATTTAAGTTCATTTTTTAAAGGGGAGAGTCTAGGCTAACAGTATGATACTCCTAGATGAAGTGGACTTTGATGAACTGCACAGGGTTTAATCACACGCTAGGTTTTATTTTTGCTTATTTCACGGATAGCTAAATGTGTTAAATGCACTCAGACAGTCAAATTTGGGCCATTTTCGAGGGGGGGGGACACTTAGACCCCGAAAATATTAATGTCCCAAAAGTGGGGGATTGTGGCTGACATAATTATGATGATTGTTTAACATTAAAATGATTGACATTTGTATCTGATCGTCAAACAAGTAGTACTTGTCCATATTGAGAGATATTGCTCTGGAACAGCATTAATTAAAACAAAATCACATGATGCATAATGAATATATAAAATTTGAATATAATCAGTCAAAGCAAAGACTATCTTCTCTATAGTCTTTGGTCAAAGCATGTCAGAGATATGGCTTTAGACGCCCATTCATTAAAACAAAATGGCCGCCAGGCTAATTATATCACTTTTCATAAATATTCAATTTTTCAATCAGTATATATGTCTATCATTTTGATTTGCCAGCAAAAAATTACAAGTGAAATATGACATCACAACATCTGTTTCAAAACTTAATAAAATGATTACATGATCATATTGAGAAATACTGACCCGAATTAGTTTAAAAGTTCACTGTCCAAATATCTTGTGCATTTAAAGGAAATTAGAATGTTGCAAAGACACAAAGAATAAAAATATTACCAAAAAGGTAAAATGAATAAATATGGTTATTTTAATCCGTGATCAACGGGTTATATATAACCTGTATAAGCCCTGGGATATTAAGCTTGCATAAAATACAAGAAGAATTGAGCATTTGGTAGAAAAACGTAAAAATGATTATTTTCAGTTCTGTTGCTATTTTATATATATGGTTAGCATCAGTATATTGCCAAGTCCTAAAGTACATGTACAATGTACTACTTTAGAATTTTTTTTTTTTAAAGGTTATGTTATACTTTACCCACAATCCTTTGCTGGAGAATCAAGATGGTGGACTAGATACTGTAATACTAATGAAAAGTTGAATATTTAGGAGAATGTAAAGTAATATGAAAAAAAACTATAAATTGCATTCCTCTGTATTTGTGAAGCTCTTTAACCTAGGAGTCTAGTGTTGTTGGCATTGACTTTAATCCGAGAAAATGCAAGTAGTGAATGTGACCTTAAAAGGTGATGTGTATGAAATGTACAGCACACCAATGAGATGATTACGCTTAACGATTACGCAATTCTCTAGTGGCAGGAAAGTCCCGGAACTGAAGTCTGTAGGCGTACCATTAGCGTCGGAGACACTCCCGGTGACTACCTCCAGCGGTGACAGCACCGAAGCCTGCGGTCGGACCAAAATTACACTCCCTCTGTGTGCAGCGAAAAGGATACAACCTTGTTGAAATCTATAAAAACAATGCAATAACACACACGATAAACCAGGGTAGTAAACAATGGTTCAGAATAACTTACGCTTGGTCTAGTTCGGGGTCTAGCTGTGTACGTGCAAGCCGGATAACTCCGTCGTATCTGGATCACAGAACGTCCTATGTCGTAAATTTTGATTGGTTGAAACATGGGGGCACGACCTCGCGTCATTTGCTCAGAACCAATCCATTCACTTACAGGGGTGGGTGTGTGTGTACGTGTTTTCATTGCAAAAGTTATATTGACATATATACGATTAAAATATACCCCAATCCCTGCCTTTGTATATCATAACCATGTCAGAACTCCCGATCCTAGTTTCGTTGATTTGATAGATCTGAAAAACAGATGCAGAAATCGCCGAAAGTTTCGTTTCCGCCATTTATTGTATATAGGTCCAACTATGAGCTGTTTGACAGTGATCACCTTTCACCCACGGCCATAGTCCAGTTCGCACGCCTGGGTTTCATAAGATCAATGAAAACTACTGCACGCGGTGACATTACCTGGCGAAAAGTCATTCAGCAACTTGAATGTGTCTTTGTTGGAAGAAATGGAAAAGTGACTATTTAGACCTCGTCGATTTCACAATCTACTGCAAAAAGTCAAGAAACTCGGACGCAATTATTCCGCTCAAATTCAAATTAAAAGTCACAAGAGTCCGACTTATTTACGATTTATTTATTTCAATTATGGATTCACTACTAGTATTTAAATCAATAAATAGGAGCTACATAAGTTACAAATCATGTTTTCATTGACTTATGCTAATTATGCTATACAACTACTGTACATGTATCACATTCATTATAGTACCTTTGTAACCATAGTGACAGAGAATCGCGTACATGTTCCTTTCCCACGATATTTGTTAAGCAATGAATCGTCAACAGCAAAAACATCATGGAGCGTATGTCACATCGAATGGTAAACACATATTATGTGTGTGTTAAAGGGCGGCAGTCGTCGCGCCGCGTCCTGTTCGATATGGGACTCATAGTGACGTGTACAACGCGTGTAAAATACATTGTTTATTTACATGATATTCGAACACGCGCTGCGCGACGACCACCGCGCTTTAATATTATATATTGACCTATGAGAGTCGAGACCTAGAAACTACGCAATCCGTCAACTTGGTGGCTTGCAGCTATTGGTTGATAATATATAACTTACGCTTAGATAAAATAATAAAATAAAGTGGTCTATCTGTGGTTACACCAATGTGCATTCTCCGGGTCTATTCTCCCGTTATGTCTCCAGTGTAAGAGTTATCTGCCGAGTGAGTCGAATTTTCATACTTTCTACGTGCTCATATATAACACTTTCCCTGAAACAGAACAATGGTCAACCACGGTCACATTTGTTGAGCGACCGTGGGACAGCCAAATACGCAAACATAAAAAGCGCCATACATTAACAATACAGCAATTTGCACTGGAATGTGAAAAACAGTTATTGAAATGTGCCATGTACATTTCATGTACTAGATAAAAGAATTGTAAACAAAATTGTACACAATTATTTTAGACATTTGTCCAGACGATTTTGAATATATATATTTCCAAATGGGAATACCATATCACGAACTACCCATTTCTTGCATGTAAAATCTCAATCGAAGATGAGTGTAAAGAGTTATAGTAAAGATTAAATAAACGTAAACATGTAGAGTATGGCAAACCTCTAATAACAGTTTATTTTGACGGGTCAAAATTAATGTCGACAATGTGAACATGTTACATGATCAATATTGTGTTGTCAAATATTCTCTAGAAATCCGCGTTCAGTCGGTGTGTGCGGTGAGGTTTGAGAAAAAATAAGTCGTTTGAATTTAGTGAATATGTTTACACTGTATTGGTATTTACTTATGTCTTATACAACCACAATATTACTTATGTAACTCTATGTTGAAATAAATACTCTAGTAATACCTGTTACGATGTTATGAATTACTGATATTTAGTAATTACCGTCTTTTCTTTTTAGGGTGGGGTTCTGCTAACACTGTATGTGCTTGTTATAACTGTTTTTTTATACTTGACCCATGAAATCGGAGTATCTGCCATGATAGTCTATTATACCATATACCCACAATTATATGTAGGATAAGGGACGACGTCAAAAGATCGATGTCGGATAAAAAACTTATTTGCTTTAGTTTGGGGTGGGGGTTTTGACCTCAAAAGTTTCCATCCTACAAAAACGATTTTATTTTTTAATGAAGTCAAAAATATCTTGGAGTATTTGTAGTTCGTTTTTTTTTTTGCTATCCAATCATAGACAAAAATAACAGAATATGAAAAAAACACACATCCAAGACGAGAAAATGGCTTGGTCCGAGTGTAAATATGTGCGTCAAATGAGGTCAATTTCAGGGCATGGACCTAGAGCATGCGCTGAACCCAGAAAAGTAGTTTGCGCATGCGTATATTCCCCTTCATTATTACAACAAAGTCCTATGCCATACTACTGTCCGATTATCAATTTGTATTTAATGGTGAATGTAGTCTGACGCCATGATCGATATTTATAAATTAAGTTTCAGTGGGGGTGGGGGCGTTTGGGAAAAAACTAAAGGAATTAAGTTTGTTATCCGACATCGATCTTTTGACGTCGTCCCTAAGGATTTACCAGCGTCAAATAGTTTTATTTCGTAGTTGTGGTGGCTTCGTGTGCCTTCTAGTCTTGATGAATTTAGAGGGACGAACAATCACCTGTTTTTTCAGCTTTAGTATATTGCCATCTTTAATATAATTATTTTGTTTGTATTCATTTTGTTCATTTATAAGAATCGCTATTCTGATTTATGTACATTTCAAGTTTGAGATTAGAGATTGGATTGGAATGAAATTTTGAATAAACCAAACAACAGATGTGTGACAACATAAATTACTTACTTCCATCTCAGACAACTAATAACATTTCCATATATGTTGTTTTTAGAAATGTCATATGTGGTCAAACATGTTAAATTTAACCAATGCTCTGTTTCCCTGTGTGCGGATTGGACTGTGACGTATGCATCACAACAGCATATTGTCGAGGCCATGTCATTGGAGGGTCATGATAGAAATTGTCAATTTTATAAATGTCAAAATTTTATTTTATTTTTCATTATGCCAGGCTAAGTTCTTATAAATCTCTAAACAGGTGACTATCGAAACGAACAAAAACCGATGTATGAGTCACAGTATAACCCGCACACAGCAGTAGATTACAAGATAATACACGACACATTTTAAAATAATTTTTGTGCAACACATTTACGCAAATATGACGTTGTCATAGAAATATATCTGGAACGACGTGTAAAGATCGAAGACTGTGCTATATTCTTTTTTGCGATAACATCATCAGAAAATAAGTTTCAACTTGTTTGCGACCTTCAATTGCTATGTTCGCATGGCAGTATTCTATCGGAGCCGAACTACGGTTCCTCCCACCGATTGACAGGGGATTATTTCCAATGCGTTTACATGATCGGAGCTATCAATCTATCGCAGTATTTCTTTACTCTGCCAAATAGATTAGGGCGCGTATCTCTTCATCAAGTCGGCAATTGCGTGAAATTGCGAATGATGTTGTCTCCGCCATAATTGAAATGAGGGGTTACTTGAAGGAAACAATTGAGGACCGTGACGAAATTTGGGCTCCGGTAGTTGGGCCTGATGCGTATACACTGTTAAACAGATATTTTTCTTTCTATCAATGTTGGTACATGTATCTATCTATAAATAGATTTGAATTGGCAATCAGATATGTCAGCTTTGCTGGATTGATGTTATTTGTGAAAGTTATAAATATTGTTGTCACCTAAAATGCTAGAAACGTATTCCTAGAGTCATTTTAATCCGATTTCACTCTTTTATAGAATGTACCTATAATGATAGGAAGTAATAGCAATTTTGTGTAAACTATATTTATTGAACCAATTTATCACCTAGAAAGTAAACCCAATAATATAACAATTCTTGAAAAATGGTTAAATAAATAATAAAAAAACATAAATCACTTATGAATGGCACAAACATATTTCAGGTATGAAATCCTAAGTAATATTACATTTGCTGGGGCGAGTATTACACAATTTAACATAACTAACACAAAACGTGATATTAAAAATTACCATAACATTAATTCGCCCACGAAAGGTGAGAGTTCTAGTAATATGTTTTTTTTCTTTACGACGTAAAAAATATATTTGAATTTGTCAGCAGCCTAGGAATTGCTATTTCTATAGATCATAAATTGATGATTTTCTGAACTTTGAAATATTGGACATTATATGTATGAATGTGAATAATCAGTTAATAGTAGTGATACAGCAAACAATCCAACCACTTTTTGCGCATGCTCAGTGTCCGGGCGAGTCGTGGGTGAAGGTCAAGCGGGTTCTGTAACTGGCAACTGAATTGTAGTATTTGATTTTCATTTTTTTGCGACAGAAAAATCATCTTTTTCATCACAACAAATATCGCTATGGCTGAACTACGACAGATACCACTTACCGAAGTAGAAAAGAACAACTGCAACACCGGTTCCTGGATAATAATCCATAACAAAGTGTACGATGTCACAAAATTTTTAGAAGAGGTGGGTTGAAGTTATATTCACGAAATCCAGCATTGTAAAAATGTTGTCATGGAATCGGTGTTTTCATGAACATGCGATACATAATTTCGTTGTATTTTTGCAAGAACACGTCATTTGTTGTCATCGAATACGTGACAATTACCACGTCCGGAAAACTCTGCGCCGTATTTCACCACATCCACGCTTACTAGAAGAAGCAATTAGCTTAAAGTTCAAAGGTCAACTTGTGCCCTATCTGTAGCATGATTTGCCATTTTCTCTAGCACGATTTTCACGTCTGCCATCACCGGTGTGTGTGTGGGGGGGGCTGTAGTAACTATTAATATCCCCTGTTAAACATGTCCCACATTATTTATTATATCAGAAACTGTATTTGCTCTATTAAAATGTCATTTTCAATAGAAGTGCACATAATCCAAAAATTACATTAATTATTATCGTATCTTTATGACCCCTTAAAAAATGTAATTTTTTATTGATTTATGAATAATTAATAGATTAGAATCAAATGCTGAATAAAAATATTTTAGGCTACAGTAATATGCTTATTTTGACCGTAGCTGATTGTCTGTTATTTATGGCATAGTGTGTTAGTAATAGAGTATATATGGTACTGTTTGCATCTCAGTAAGTGTTTCAGACTGTAATGATTTACATTTTTTCAAGTAAATACTGTAAAATACTTTATTTTTGCTTGGAATTATTTTGTGCTATTTTCGCTGAAGGAATGATTCAGTGATAATAAAATCAAGCGAATATTCGTTTTTTCCTATATTTTACATTTAACTTGTCAAAAATCAGTGAAAATAAAATCCTTACAAAACACTCAAAAAATCTTTTCAGCGAAAATAATTCCAGCTAAAATAAAGTATTTCACAGTAGTCAAAGTCACAAGTTCAATATGAAATCACAGTCCCTCTATTTTTTTCGCAAAGTATGTCGGGTAAATCATTAATGATAATGATATGCAGATCAACTTGAAGATGACCCCTGACAAGTTGCGTCAACTGTGGATTACGTATAGGTGTCAATGGTTTATTTACCCGCTACGCGCAATAGGACAAATAGGACAGCGGCCATTTAGAGACCGGTGATGGAGGGACTGTGATGAAATCTACTATAAAAGCAGGCCAATAAGTTTTCCCTAACACTTAGGGCGGCACTGCCATCTGAAATGCACATGTGCTTAGAAACGACTCGCGCAATGACAAATTTTACATTTTCTAGAGATCAGATAAAAGCCAGTTGCGTAATCTAGTAAATTTAAACAAATTGTGTGTTGTTCTTGGTCATTGTGAAAGTTTTTTTTACGTTATGATAAAATACTATAGTTGCAATGTTTATGTTACGATTTACAGATTTGCCAATGAAATAATATTTCACTTGTTCACATTAATTTAATTTAGCATATTTCACAACATATTAAAAGATAGTGAAATTAAAACTCCGTGAATGAATATTGAATTTATGTTGGATAATTTTTTTTTTCATTATTAGCATCCAGGTGGTGAAGAAGTGCTTCTTGAACAGTCAGGTAATGATTTCTATGTTGTAAATCATAATAGTGTCTAGTCTAAAATTCAATATAACTGTATTAAATAATCATTGATAATAACGCGCATACGTGTTAAATAGGTCTGTTATATTTATCTGGTGAGAGTTTTAATTTTAAGACCTGTCTGGTACATGTCCCAGATTGATTTGTGCACCTTCGAATAAATTCATTTATTGAACGATAACCATTGGTGGTGTACTTGTAGGCATATCAAATCTGTCTCTGCCATAGGTGACCTTTTACAGCGTGGGATTGCAAGTTTTTTTTCAAATACATAATATTTATTGTTCAGTATTTTATCAACACAAAAAATTAATATAAAAACATAACATGGAGTGAAAATTCTCAGCCGATGTGACAACTAACCATGGAAACATTTTTGAGTGACAAAAAAATGTTGTCAAGTACAATGACCTGAAGGTATTTTACCGGAGCATTCTGTTGAATGTTCAGTGCAAAAAAATGTAATAAAAAAGCAGAATAGATGTTGCACTGGCGATACTCAAGCATTCATTTACACAATATTTTAACATTTGAAAAATTTAAAATTCACCTGTGGCAGAAACTGATTAGAGGCACTTTTAGTGAATGCTTGGAGAATGACTAAAGATATCAGATATACTAATGTGAACTTTTGGACTTGAGTTCTTATCACTTATTGTAATGTTGTGTTTATTTGTTCCCCTGATCGGCAGATTTCGCAAATGGTATTCTCAGACTTTGAGTCATGATTTTAAAACTGTATCTTGTAGCTTCCGTAAATTTGACGTTTTGCTATTGCTAATGTGCAAATATTCTAGGAATCAGAAGTTAACATGTCTATTTGAAAGTTACAATGTATCTTTCTATCACTGGTTTATTAAATATAGATGACTATCGTGAAAGTATATTTTAGAGTTTTGTATGGTTCTTTTAGTAACTGATGAACAAATTCTGCATGATTTAATGTCAGAAAAATTATTTTCTCCTGCTTGGTATTGTGGAATATCTACGTCTACCCTCACATTAAAAATAATGATCTCATCTGGCTTAATATCTTGTCCGTAGTTTATTTTATTATAGTTGCATCCAATTTGCTATTGACTCCTACTCATCTAATTTCAATTGAACCATGCATTGGTTAATTGATAGAATGATCAACTTGTTTGCATGTGCACACACCGCCGCACAGTCATTGTGGTACATATGCTGTCAGACATAGCTATGTTAAATTGTAAATGAATGACAGCACAGTGTGACGACCACTTTGAATTATTGAATTTAGAGCATGCAAATGACTATTTTCATTTCATCCAAAATTTGTTTTTTTGATAACCAATTTTTATTTATCCTTGAAGGTGGAGATGGCTCAGAATCGTTTGAAGACGTTGGACACTCAACAGATGCCAGGGACATGATGGAACAGTACCTCATTGGAGAACTTAGGAAAGTGAGTAGTTTCACCCATTTTTTTTTCTAACAAGATAATCTAAAATCTTTTTTTCAATAGAAGTGCACATAATTCAAAAATTATATTAATTATTATTGTATCTTTATCACACCCTTAGAAATGTCATTTTTTTTATTGATTTGTGAATAATTAATAGAAAAGAATCAAATGCTGAATAAAAATATTTTAGGCTACAGTAATATAGACTTATTTTGACCGTAACTGATTGTCTTATCTATGCTAGCATATGTGCTACTAATAGAGAATATATGGTACTGTTTATCTGATATGCTTTATAAGACAAGATGCACTATAGGTCGATTTTTCACCCCTCTAAAATTTCACCACCCGCCAACTTACTTGTGTGTGTGGGGGGGGGGGGTGTAAATGTTCTTTCGGTACATCTTCCATGATGTAACATAGTATGATAGCATCACTAATTTAGTGTAAGAATTGTTGATATTGTGCATTATAATATGTTCTCATTTTGTGTTTTACTCATAATAATCAACTTATTCTATGGGAATCTTATAATTTATACAAATATATGAATTAAATAAAAAAAAATATGAAGCATTAAATTAATGCATTAAATAACCTGTGATCACATGATGATAACACATCATACTGGTCAAACCTCACAGACAACCAACCAAACAGATCTTATCATATGTGCAGAGATCATCATTAGATCTGACAAATTAACGTGAGATCTATTCATATTTCTACCAACTATCGCTATATATCGCAAGACAAAAAATGGATTACACTGATATGCTGAGAGATATGCATCTCCTGTTTTGAAAATGCCCAGATCTGTTTTACGATGAAATACATAATTTTTGAAGAAGTGTGAAATACACAGAATGTCAGGTGTTTGGTAGATACAATACAATACAACTGAGCGAAGCATGCATAGCATATAGAATTAAGTTGATTAACACCTTAACAAATAGGCGTTGCCATTCTGTTTAGATTGGTTGTCTGAGCGCAAACTAGGGACATCTTGACGCTGAACTTTGGAACTCAAGGTCAGCCTTTGATCCTGAGTCAATTGTTGCATTTTATGGTAGTGTACACAAGTGTTCTCATTAAAACAAAGTACTTTGTGTACTTTTTCATATATTTATGTTTTTGGCGTAATTGTACATCACTTGTTTTAGACATGTTAAATATTATAATAAGAGTGTTGAAGTTTAACATTGTACACAGGTCTGTATACCTAAACTGCCTGAAAATTTGACGCATTGTAAGTACCGGTACTTACATTGTAAGTATACTGTGAATATAGTTGACCATGATACATACTCAAGTTCAGTTTAGGACCCAAGTTCACTTACAAACTTGTTGCAAATGATTGCCAAATGATGCTACAACTGTATTTCAGCCAAGTTTTGTGACCGTATTTGTTTTTACATCGGCGTGTTATGTAAATGTTATGCCAGTGCTGATTCCCCTTTCTAAAGGGTTTGAATATCTGCCATTTTTAAGCCCCTTTATGCCACATCTATTTTCTTCTTGTGCGCCACATGTGAACATGCTAAACACACCAATATTAGCTCTTAAAGCGAGAGGTTCATAACCTGTGGACGCATGGGAATTGAGTCCCAAGCGATGATAACAACACACGCTAAAAATGCAGAGGCTCATAGATAGATGCTTGTTTGTGAACAACGATACGCTATGGCCATCTGATCCCTGCGCAGGTGCCGACTCCCCCGCTTTAATATTTTTTATTATTCCTTGCACAGCATAAAATCATGCATACTGTGTGTGTACATTTGTATAGGTCTATAAACATCTAACAGTAACCTTCTCTTTGCACTTGCACTTGTAAGTTTTCTATTAATAGGATCATCCATAAATAATTTCCTTTCAGGTGTTGAATTGCTAACAAATGTCGGGTGATCCATAATAAAACATTAATTTTTTTAATAGTCATTGACAAATTATTTTCACCCTTCCAAACTGGGTTTGTAGTAGGCAAAATTAAAATGGAATGTACAATGCATAACAAATATGCCAGTTTGGTTTCTACGTGTGTGGGCGGTAATGGGATTTACCATAGCATGCTTGGTTCGCCTACATGACAATGGAAGTTATTTTTAGTGCGAGTTCTCTACAGCTAAATACTGTAAAAGGATTAATTATTCACCGGGTTTTAATTTTGCTTATTTCGCTGACTGGAAAATGCGCTAAATTAAAACCCAGTGAACATGTAAAATTTAGCATAGAACACATCATCTAAATGGTAAAACCGTGAATTTAAAACCCACTGAAATGGTAAATCAGCGAAATTTAAACCCTGCAAAAGTTAGTAATTTTACAGTATGTGCTAATATGTGTAAATGTTTTCTAGTGTCTTTTACTTGAAATGTATGCATTTGTCTTGCTGCCCAAATCATGCACTGCATGGTCATGGTTTGACATATTTAACATTGAAACTATAAAATAAGGATATATATAGTGTACCAGTAGTTTGTAGAAAAAAAAATCAATCTATTCTTGGATGTTGTGCTTAAGTTGTGTTATGGGAGCTAATTCACTACGTTCAATTACCCACCATAGACTCCGGTCAGTCAAAATGACTATTTTGAACTGTAGGCATTAATCAGCGATTCTGCCGGTGACTGAGAGATAGAATCCAGGTCAGGGGAAGCCCCATGACCTCAAGATTCTTTTAACCCTTCCGTCACGAACCCACGTGACCGAGGCCACCTGGCAGCGCCACAGGTAGCCGTCCATCACTCTTAATTTCTCTCTGCCTCGAGTGGAGATGAAATCTAGCGAGCTCTGCTGGATCGCCTGCCTTTTTTCCTGTCCGGATTTATGGCTTGGGTTGTTGCCGCTGCTCGGCATCTGACATTGTTACATGTAGCTGGTAGAATAAGTTTTCCTTGTAAAAAAAATCAAAATCCGGCGCCACTACGTAACCAGTTGGTTTTCATGGCGGCACCTTTTACAACTGTAATTCGTTTCCCTCATGCATGTCGTCTTTTATTTTCAATGTATTTAGCAATATATAGATGTAATGACAGCACCAAGGCTCACTGCCGTTTTCTTTCCGTTCTCCTCGTGTTTCGAGTCGACCGTGCAGTGGTTATATTCAGAATTTACCAGCATAGAACCCGCATCCGAGATACTTTGTCGTAGCTACGTGGGGGTTTCGGGGTTTTTGCGTAAAAGCGTGTTTTTTCACTGGAGTTCTGAGGCCTGAGATTTTCTTTCAGAGCCACCAAAATCGCTGAGACTGACTGCGTCACAGCAAGGTCGCGCGTCCAGTAAACAGATCGGTTAAAGTGAGTTGCGTGTTTGGCATGAGTGGAAAGTCCTCACGCTCGGCTACCGGTACTTCATGTACCGGGACGTCGAGTAAGAGGCCCGACGACGGAGGTACCGATATTTTTTCGATCTTCCCCGCTGATCGGAGGGCATCCTCACAGTTTGTTTTTTCAGGCGGTGTTTTACCCGATTTTACCGGCTGCAGCGAGGCTGTGTTCCTGGAGGCTTTCCTCCTATGGGACCCATTGCGGGTCTCTTTGTCGACCCTTCCTTGCACAGCGCCAGGTTTGCCTCCGAGTTGAGGGCTTTGGTCGAAGGACTGTCAGGGCAATTGCGTCCCTGGCAGGCCGGGTAGATCAGACGCAGTCGGAGCGAGCTGTCTTCACTGTGTCCCCTCGGTGGGCAAGCAGGAAGAGACACGAAAGCATGTTTGCATTCAAACACGTCTCTTCCGGGGAACCCCCGTTCCCAGGCACGGCTCTCCCACTATTTTGGGGGGTGGCCGAGGCTCAGGCTAATTGCACCGGTCCTCTGGATCCTCGGGCACTGAATGCCAACGGGGTGCTG